ATACATCAAAAATTTAAGGGCGATAAAAAGCCACCAGACAAAGTTTTAAGCCAACGCAAAAAAAAACAAGTTGCCAAATTAAAAATAGCACTATAGGTAAAGGAATCCATCACATTCGAGCAAAAGTACAAAACACAAGACGGGAAGATCCTTACATACCCACCACACAGGGCAAGTGTAAAAGCAATTGTCAAAAAACCTGGAATGCTTAAGATCAGCGTCCTTACTTTTGAATCAAACATTTATAGAGAGTGAAAATCTACACAACTGGCCTACAAGTCAGCTCGACACAATCAGAGCAACCGATTTGCTGATATCGAAATTCAACAGATAGGGATGGTTTCAAGGAAGGGTTGCTGCAACGCAAATATAAAACAGAGTATAGATGCGTATAAAACAAGAGTATAAATGCATAATAAAAGAGCAGTTTGCCGAGCGGCCTAAGCTAAAGTAACGTAAAGCCGACTAAAGAGACATGACAGTTGACGTAGAGTCCCCCACCTGCCCATGCATTAATGTACTAAAAAAGGGAGTTATATCCTATTTTAACTATTTTTTATTCTAATTCGGTTCAGCCTTGATTAAGGCTGACCGTCAAAAAAAGCAATTTGTCTCGAGGACATTACCGACCGGTTCTTGTGGCTAGCCTGCGCCAATTTGTTTATTGGAGCTGAATATTGTTGAAATTATGAACATGAGTTATGTGAGTTTTTGGCTTAGTTATAAATAATGACGATGAATTGCCGAGAATACGAGTTAAACATTATTTTCTGAGCCGTTTTATCTAGTTTACGGAGATTGAGCGCAGATTTTGGCGCCCAACAAGGGACCGTTAGTGCCTTGATTGTTTGACAATTTGACGACACGAGTGCAAATAGAGTTTGCAGCCAATAGTGTTTGCAGTTGGCAGAGTTGTACGAAAGCAGTTGGCCCAAACAGAGTGCAGTTGGCCGAAATTCGTCTGTTGCGGATTGCAGAGTGTCTCTAGCGGATTGCAGAGGTTCTGTAACATTCGTTCCACCGGACGGATTGTGCGCTTGGTGAATACCGAGTTTGATACTGAGCACCCAATATTAGTCGACGCCCGATATACCCTAGTTCGTTTCTTGGCCCGCAGCCTCCACCATAAGCATTTTCATCAAGGTTTAGATTACATGCGCTCCGTTTTAAATATGAAACATGCAAAACATGGGTTGCGTCGACTACTTCGGTCTATCGAAAATCAATGTGTACCATCCAGACTATTATGTCAGATTTACCTGTCAAACGTCTCGGATATAAGCAACCACCCTTCAATCATACGGGTGTGGATTACTTTGGACCGCTTTTTACGTTCCGGTTTGCAGAAGCACTGAAAAACGATGGAGATTTCTTTTCACTTGCCTCACCACCAGGGCTGTACACCTTGAGATTGTACCATCTCTGGACACTAGTTTTTGTGTCATGGGCATTGAACGGTTCATTGCGCGTCGTGGTACACCAAGCACGAACTGGTCGGATAACGGCACGAGCTTCGTTCGTGCGGAAAAAGAATTACTTGCCTGCATCAAGAGCTGGAATGGCATGGCTCCGACCATTTTTGCACACAAACGTGTTACTTGGAAATTTAACCCGCCAGGCGCACCCCATCATGGCGGCTCCTGGATGCGCCTCGTCCGAAGCGTGAAGCGCGTGCTGTATGGTATACTGGGCGGTAGGCGAGTCACCGAAGAGGTGTTAGGAACAACACTCTGCTTAGTTGAGCAGGCTTTGAATTCGAGGCCAATCACTCCCGTTAGTACTGATTCACGTGAGATATCGTATGCTAACGCTATTTGGTCTCGTTGGCTTCGCGAATAAGTTTCCTCACTGAATAAGCGTGTCAAGTGGCACACTCATTCTGACTCCACTCTTAAGACAGGCGATCTCGTGTGGGTGATTTAGCCCGATAGTCCGCGTGGGTACTACCCTCTCGCCCGAATCGTCAAGCTAAACTACGGACAGGACGGTTGCGCCCGATCCGCCTTTGTTAAGACCGCAACCCGTGAAGTCACTCGGCCGACCGTTAAGCTCGCTCCAGTTCTTCCTTCTTCAGGTGGGAGTATGTTGCAACGCAAATATAAAACAGAGTTTAGATGCGTATAAAACAAGAGTATAAATGCATAACATAAGAACAGTTTGCCGAGTGGTCTAAGCTAAAGTAACGTAATGCCGACTATAGAGACATGACAGTTGACGTAGAGTCTCCCACCTGCCCATGCATTAATATACTAAAAAAGGGAGTTATTTCCTATTTAAACTATTTTTTGATTCTAATTCGGTTCAGCATTGATTAAGGCTGACCGTCAAAAATAGCAATTTGTCTCGAGGACATTACCGACCGGTTCTTGTGGCTAGCCTGCGCCAATTTGTTTATCGCAGCTGAATATTGTTGAAATTATGAACATGAGTTATGTGCGTTTTTAGCTTAGTTAAAAATAATGACGATGAATTGCCGAGAATACGAGTTAAACATTATTTTCCGAGCCATTTTTATCTAGTTTACGGAGACTGAGCGCAGATTTTAGCGCCCAACAAGGGACCGTTAGTGCCCTGGTTGTTTGACAATTTGACGAAACGAGTGCAAATAGAGTTTGCAGCCAATAGTGTTTGCAGTTGGCAGAGTTGTACGAAAGCAGTTGGCCCAAACAGAGTGCAGTTGGCCGGAATTTGTCTGTTGCGGATTGCAGAGGATCTGTAGCTGATTGCAGAGCGTCTGTTGCGGATGGCAGAGTGACTGTAGCGAATTGCAGAGGGTCTGTAGCGGATTGCAGAGCGTCTGTTGCGGATTGCAGAGTGTCTGTAGCGGATTGCAGAGTGTCTGTTGCGGATTGCAGAGTGTCTGTTGCGGATTGCAGAGGGTCTGTAGCGGATTGCGGAGCGTCTGTTGCGGATTGCAGAGTGTCTACTGCAGATTGCAGAGGGTCTGTAGCGGATTGCAGAGCGTCTGTTTCGGATTGCAGAGTGTCTGTAGCGGATTGTAAAGGGTCCTTGTCGTGTAAGACCGGTGACCGCCCAATCTCCAAAACTGTAAGAAGGTTCCAAAACTTTTGAAACTTTTCATTTGTGCTATAAATCTATATACGATGTCATATGTTGAAAATTTTCCCGCAAGCTAGCACCCGGCAACTTTTCTCAATACCCAAAATTTTTGGACAGTTCCAATATTTCACAGTCGGTATATAGAAAATTTACTTGACATTTTTTTTTCGATACCAAAGTTTTTTGAATAATATGTGAACGGAATATTAATCCGTGAAATCGGAACATAAGTAAGAGGTACTGGACTAGTTTTTAGATTGGATTATGACCCGAACCCGCTGATCAAAATTTTCCGAAAAATTTTGGAAAAAAAGTTTTAAAAAATGCCAAAAATCCACAAAACGTCCCCAGAATTGAACCAACTGGTACTAACAAAGATAAAAAAGACGAGAACCCGTCAACAGATGCAAAAAAAACAATTTGGCAGTTGACGACCAGCTACTACAAGGGTCCAGCAAGGATCCAGAAAAACATAAGAATGCGCCGACAAGTGTCAGAGCAAGACAACAATAGAAAATAAAAAGTATAAAAATCTAAAGGGGTAATTACTCTCAACGTTCCTCAGACACCAAAATCTGAATCCTATGTATCAACACCATTGTCGGCAAAACTACAAGCGGCACACAAAAAGCAGGCCACCCAGAGAACTTCACCAATAACCTATCTTCAATGTTTGCTACCGCAATACAAATTATGACACCAAAGCCAGGCCAAAAAGGTTCCCGAACATCAAAACTTGCCTCAATTTCCTGAAAAAATTGAAAGTGGGAAAACAGAAGAAAATCGAAGACAAAATAATTGAAATATCCACGGAGAGCGAGTCGGGAACCAGAAAATGATAGTAAAATCAAAATTAAGTTAATGGAACCAGTTTAAAATTAGTATTTATATCCAATTGTATTAGTTAATCAAAAGTTAATTAGTTACGTGTGATCTCATTGAGCAGTAAATAGGACAACCATCATTCTTTTGATTAGCCCAAATTCAATTAGACGTCCGAAAAATTACGTCGAATTACATCTTAATCAAAATTAGGTTAATGGAACCAGTTTAAAATTAGTATTTATATCCAATTGTATTATTGTATTAATATTGTAAATTATTTTTGATCCAAAACTAAGACTTATTATAAATTGTATAGCTCAAACTATTCATAGTTTCAGCAACAGAACAAAAAATATATAACTTATCAAACAGTAGTTCTTCTCCAGAACAGTTCCTGATATCTCGCAAATACCAGTATACACTAGATCTATTGAGACTAGGAGATATAAGAGTAAGATTAAGATTGGTATTAGACTAAGAAGTTGCACAAACCTATCCGGCTGAAAATAAGATAGCGGGACGAACAGACGATGTACCTTATCTGAAATTACTCTATGAGTCAGCCACCCCGGACATAAACTCATTAAGTAAATCTTAAATTTACCTCAACCACAATTGGCTCTTTCCAATTCCCCTCCCCGCCTCACACGACAATCAGTTTTATGGTGTGACAAGTCGTTTTAAAAGGTTAAATTCGAAGACCAAATTTGTTTGTCATGGCCTAATTGTCATTGGTCCGTATGTCAATTTTTGTAACAATCGGAAAAGGTGATCAAAAAGTTTAACGTCTGGGCATTTTTCTCGTGTCATTTTCATGGCTTTGAAAATTTTGATCTACTTTCTTTGTTTTGAATTTGAGAAAGGTGACATTGAAAAGGTGACATTTGGTCTACTGGTATCCCGTGGTAAAAAGAATGAAAAGAAAAGAAAACAACCTCTGGACTGTTATGAAAAAAAAAAACACTTTTGCAAAATACACTAAAAAGTGTTTTGATTGCTAAGTTGCACTTTTGCAGCACTTTGACAAGAAATGTGAGAAAGGAAGAGCGAAGGAAATTAAGAAAAATAACAGGAAATATAGATCAAGAGTTTACCTTCTGCAGTTTAGAGAGCGTTAAAAGTTCAATGAGGGGGAGATGGCACGATAAAAATTTGCGATTTATTCATCCAGAACAAAGTTAGAATTCACACATTTATTCCTTGTTTCTTACCATTTGTGGCATCAACTGTTTTTAAAAATCAATCAAGCGTTAAGCTGTTGAATTATTTTTAGCCGGAGTCTCAATTTTAAGACCAAGTCTTATCTCTTGACTTCCCGTGGAGAATTATCAGCTTTATTTATAACACAAAAATATCTCCGGCACTTTGTCCTGATTTATTTGTTTTGTTGAGATCCATCGCTAAAAAATTCTGTCAGTTAGTATTTAAGACCGTTTTTTTGTTCCGTCTTTCAAAAAGAGGATTTTTTTCTCTGGACAGATTTTTGACAAAAACTTTTTTGTACCACCTTCAAAGATATAGATGCCCTGAGTCATGCCTTAGAATTCATATTTTGCAGTAGAATCATGCTGCTGAACCAAAATCTTCAACTCATTAAGGAAAATATCAGGAAGGTTCAGTTTATGAGGAGAAACTCAATATTTTAAAAATAAATTTAAAAAAATTTGGGTTCTTAAATAATACCAAAAATGATTTTTACTCATTTTTCTGAGAAAAAGCTTGTAATTAAACTTTTTTTCACTTTTGAAATCTGTCTAATTTCTACTCCATAAAAACGATGCTTTATAGGTCAAACTCTGATAATGTCCTACTGGGCCTAGCCCTCAGCTTAAACTTAAAACAATGAGTCATCTGCGGTGGTTTGAAAAAATCAATTGTGTCAGATTGCTGGACTAATAAATGGCGCGAAAGCACCACCCGGTTCGATGTGCTCACTTTAAGTTTCGACTCAACGTGAGTGCCCACCAAAAAGATAGTCGAGGAAGCTTTTTGGGTCCAGCACAAATCGAAACCTGTCGAAATTTGGTCGAGCGCGGTCGAAAAATACTGAAGCACGGTCGAAACATACCTCGAGCAGGATCAAAAATTATCTCAAGCGTGGTCGAAAATTAACTCGAGCAAATTCAAAAAACAACTCGAGCACGGTCGAAACGTACTTCGAGCACGTTCGTAGCGCGGTAAGATAAAATCTGTTCAAGAAAATTTCTACGCGTACAATTTTTAAAAAAAATTTTTAACGGAAATTGAAAAACAACACTCACAAGATGGAAAATCTTATTTCAAAATTCAGTTCGACTCAACAATTTTGGATAATTCATGGTCAAAACAGTTGGTCGTAACAGTCAAAACATATCTGATTGGGTCGAGCTCATTTTTTTGAGCCGAAACGATTGAAAGATATCTGGCGTAGATCTAGCAAAGTCGATAACAATTTTCTTGGTCGAAAACTTCAATACGTACCTGAATTTGGAGAGATGATCGAAACATACGTAAAAATTGGCCAGCCGGTCGGAATATACCAAAATTTGGTCGGGACAGTCGAAAATTACAGTAAGCTCCTCGACCCGTACAAAGAAGAAAATGGAAAAAAAATAATCAGCACATGAATGATAAATGCAAATAAAATTGGCTACCCAATTTGTTCTTCATATTAATTAATTTTGACGAATTTGATGTTGCAAAAAATGTTCCGCTCAATACCTGCAGCGACTGCCCATGGATCATAATCGGATCTATTGTCATTATATGGCCAGTATCGATAAAATTACAAAAATAACCTATTATAATCAATGAAAAATGTATTATAATCCTTTTATTTTTGAATATCAATATGATCAATTATAATCTAATATACTCCATTAAAAACGGATTAGAAAACCTAATGTTTTCTTTGCCAATATATATATATATATATAATCTATTATACTTGATCATAATCATTTATAAAGGCTTTTTTAAAAAATAATTCACTAAACTTACTTTTGTTTTAAATTCTCATTCCCGGTTTAATGCAGCTGATACCTATTATGTTTCATAATTTGTTACATTTCACATTAAAATATATTATTCTTACTCCATTTTTTAAAATTCATCGCAGGTTTGTTTCTATCAAAATCATCATTCGCAAGGTGTGCTAATGTTTGAACGGGGGTAGGGGTTAATTATTAACTGTAGAATGGGGCAGTTCACTGAATAAACTCCCGCCCCAGTTTACCTGTACCCTTTTTAGTTGGAGGGTGGGGTCTAAAAATAACGTTGGGAAGGCGAGTTGACGTTGAGTAACTGCCACCTGTTCTGGGGATAAAAACTTTTTCGAGGGTAAGCTGTATACAATGGATTATCTTGACACAACAATTGACACAACAACAGGTCCAAAAGTAATGATTTATGTTAGATTATATTTGGTTATAATGCATTATTTGATTTTCAAAAAAATCGATGACATTGACAATGTAATCAATTTTGTGGTATGAGTTTTATATCGGTTATTAACAATAATGGGCGCTCGGTGCGGGTAAAAAACCTTTGTTATTTGATTTTATCCAGCAATTTTTTTTTCTTCATTTTTAAAAATATTTAATTAGAGTTGCAGAATTTGAAGTATGCCATGTATTGTTTCACTTTGGTTTCATTCATATTTTTCATCCATCAGTGTGTGTTAGTGGTGGAATAACGTGGCCCTGATATCACTTGTAAATGAAATCGAATATGAAAATAAATACGCAGTGAATATTTTAGAAAAAAAATAGCGACCCACTTTTTTGTTTGAATGAAAACGAACGTGTTTTTCAAAATGAAAGAATAAAATTTCAAAACACTGAAAATTCAATTACTTTGCAATAAGAATTGAACTTACACATATTGGCTCAAGTGAAGGAAGAAATAAAGCAAGCCAATAAAGGTTTTCTTTCTTCCATAGAATTCTTAGACAATTAAATTAATTTTTATCAGTGGTTGGACAAAAAAGAGCATCCAATTCCATTTTGATTGATTTAAAGCATCGTCAGAATCTTCAGAAGGAATTTCCGGCTATTCACGTAAACATTTCCGCTAAAAATGATTTTCCTATGTTTTGTTTTCGTACTTTCAGTTATCTTTTTCAAAAAATTACGATTATCAAAGAATTACGATTGTTTGCTCCTGGTTTGTCAATTTTACTTTTATATTTTTAAGCGTCTTCTTAAAATGAAAAATTTGTGAAGTCGACGATCAGTTAAGTAATTAAGTGTACAACAATAAATATTTATGAAACTCGTGTTAAAGTTCCAACCACTCGCAAAAGTTTGGGTGAAAAATTTCGCTACGATTGGAACTGTTTCACACAATTTCACATTTATCAAGAAATGTCCTAAACAAAGGATATGATATTCCAATTTTTTTAAAATCCAATCGGATTTCAGAAGTTCGTTTAAGAAATTTCCTGTTGTCGGTAAAACAACGTGCATAATTTGCGATACTAGAAAGTAAAAAAAAAAATCAAAAATTGAAAAAGAGACCTAAAAAAAATGCAAAAAATACAGAAAATATCTGAAAAAAATAATCTCATTTATTTAAAATTTTATATAGAGCTTTGAAGTGAAGGAACAAATAAAGCAAGCCAATAAACGTTTTCTTTCTTCCATAGAAGTCTTAGACAATCAATTCAATTTGTATCAGTGGTTTGACAAAAAAGAGCATCCAATTCCCTTTTGATTGATTTAAACCATCGTCAGAATCTTCAGAAGGATTTCCCGGTTATTCACGTAAAAATTTCCGTTAAAAAAGATTTTCCTATGTTTTGTTTTCGTACTTTCAGTTATCTTTTTCAAAGAATTACGATTATCAAAAAATTACGATTGTTTGCTCCTGGTTTGTCAATTTTACTTTTATATTTTTCAGCGTCTTCTAAAAATGAAAAATTTGTGAAGTCGACGATCAGTTAAGTAATTAAGTGTACAACAATCAATAATTATGAAACTCGTGTTAAAGTTCCAACCACTCGCAAAAGTTTGGGTGAAAAATCTCGCTACGATTGGAACTGTTTCACACAATTTCACATGTATCAAGAAATGTCCTAAACAAAGGATATGATATTCCAATTTTTTAAAATTCCAAAGGGATTTCAAAAGTTCGTTTAAGAAATGTCCTATTGTCGGTAAAAAATGTTCGTGACAATTCCGTTTTCCTAAAAATGGGTAGTTTTGGTTTCGTTAAATTAATCAAGATTTAAACTGACACTACCTAAAAATTTCATGAGAAAATTATATGATAATAAGCTTTTTACACAGCCCAACAAAATTGTAGAAATATACATTTTTCAAAAAATTGTATGAAACGTTTGAATTTGTTTTTAACATAAGACTTTGCTGTTTTATAATTCAAAAATGACCTTTTTTGGCTATCAACTAAAAATATACTCTGCCATACAGTTTCGTTTTCTAGGGGAGATTCGTTACTAGGTACCATCCAATTCCCTTTTGATTGATTTGAACCGTCGTCAGAATCTTCAGAAGGAATTCCCGGTTATTCACGTAAAAGTTTACGCTGAAAATGATATTCCTATGCATGTTTTGTTTTCGTACTTTCAGTTACATTTCAACATCTGAATGATTATCAAAGAATTACGATTGTTTGCTCCTGGTTTGTCAATTTTACTTTTATATTTTTAAGCGTCTTCTAAAAATGAAAAATTTGTGAAGTCGACGATCAGTTAAGTAATTAAGTGTACAACAATAAATATTTATGAAACTCGTGTTAAAGTTCCAACCACTCGCAAAAGTTTGGGTGAAAAATCTCGCTACGATTGGAACTGTTTCACACAATTTCACATGTATCAAGAAATGTCCTAAACAAAGGATATGATATTCCAATTTTTTAAAATTCCAATGGGATTTCAAAAGTTCGTTTAAGAAATGTCCTATTGTCGGTAAAAAATGTTCGTGACGATTCCGTTTTCCTAAAAATGGATAGTTTTGGTTTCGTTAAATTAATCAAGATTTAAACTGACACTACCTAAAAATTTCATGAGAAAATTATATGATAATAAGCTTTTTACACAGCCCAACAAAATTGTAGAAATATACATTTTTCAAAAAATTGTATGAAACGTTTGAAATTTGTTTTTAACATAAGACTTTGCTGTTTTATAATTCAAAAATGACCTTTTTTGGCTATCAACTAAAAATATACTCTGCCATACAGTTTCGTTTTCTAGGGGAGATTCGTTACTAGGTACCATCCAATTCCCTTTTGATTGATTTGAACCGTCGTCAGAATCTTCAGAAGGAATTCCCGGTTATTCACGTAAAAGTTTACGCTGAAAATGATATTCCTATGCATGTTTTGTTTTCGTACTTTCAGTTACATTTCAACATCTGAATGATTATCAAAGAATTACGATTGTTTGCTCCTGGTTTGTTCTAGTTGTTCCTGGTTTG